TAAACACGTCATGATAGAGATACCTACTTATAGCTTATATAGCACAAATCAATAACTAGAAGTTACCCCAAGATGCTTTTCTTAGAGACCCAGTTTTAGACATTACTTTTTAATTTGCGACAATACTGAACAATAGGAGAACAGTGTACTCAAATGATGGAACAATTGTGTTATGGCAAGGTCCAAGGCTGGAATCATCCCCCTTTTGATGTCATCCAAGGAATCCAATTGACCCCTACTGCAGTCAAAGGATGGCACTTCATACTTGTACCGGTTGAGCACGGTCGGACTACCAACAAGACAGTTGCAAGTTCCTGGATGACTGTTGAGTCGATGGATCCCAACAACACTTGTGGAAAACAACCAGATCATACTTGTCTTTGCTCTTTGGTGTCAGTGCGTTTAATGATTATTTATATATTTAAATCCAAGCATCTCTAGTATGATTGTCCCAGGATCATAAAATAAACGTGATACTGTTTTGGCATGAATGGCAAATAAATCCGCAAAATGGAAGTTATTTTGGGTATCAAGCCTTTCAATCTTGATTTGGCATTGAAACTATCCTATTAAATCATCAAATTAAACATTCAACAACTGCAATTTTAATGCTCTTCGTTATAGTATAAGAATGTGTTCTAAATTTAGATGAAAAGTACGCGTTTAGCCATATTCCTGATGATTTAACAGGTAAACCCAGTTTGACTTCCTATATGTCAACATAACTAGGGGGTACAAATTCGTGGCCACTGTTTCAATTTGAATATCTTTATTCGATTTGTCCTTTTTTTGGGAAGCCAGAATTGAATTGATGTAATATTTCCAATATCAACCGAAGAGCTTGTCCCTCTTCGGGGGTGCTAACACTATAACATACATTTATCCGTTACTTTCTCCGTCTTTATTTGTGGAATATTTTTTTCTCCGTAATCTCCGCTCCCTTTTGTCCGTCAACGGTTGTTTCCATAGCAACAAACAACTTCCTGTCAACAGCCCTAACTCTCACTTCAAAATGAAAAGTTGTCCATAAAATAGGAAGCCAGCCAACTTATACACTTAAGAATATATACAACTGCAACAAAAGTAAAAGAACAAATGCATATCTTTTCAATTTCAAAAGAAGAAATTGGTTATTTTATTAACAATAATATAAAAACAATACTGTAGATAACAAATGAATGCTTGAAAAACCGACATACATGTGTTGAAGCGCGCCGTAATATTCGCCTGCTGATAACCTAATATACGGAGCCTGAAAAATGGTATTCGGGACGCACGTTACCCACAGACCCTGGACTCAGGCCTGACAATCTACTTTTGCACAGAATACTTCATCAACATGCATTATTCATCATTTTCAACAGGAGGTGATGCATTTCTTGTCTTTATGTCTTTGTCCTTCCCATGTAAAATGACCATTGTCCTTCTTGTTTCCCAGGCCGTTGGCTGCAGTTGAACCCGTACCACATTGAATGCTTTGTTGCAGCTCTCTGATGTCCTGCCGCCATTCAGGAGGATCAGGAACTGGCAGGGACCTCATTGGTGAAGGATCATGGACTCCCTTCTCTAAATCTCCACTTTGAAACCAAATATTGAAGCATGTTTTATTGCAAATCAATCTACTTTTGGGGTAATTTTAAACAAACTCTGCAGGAAGAATGTTAAATAGCCTAACTACTCCACATCCAAAACTGACTTTAGTCCAGTCCACCTGATGACTCCTATTTGTCAGATATTATCAAACTATATAATTGTGGTTAATCTAGAGCAGTGGTATCTCAACTGGTCAGGCCTCGGGATCCTCACTTTTACTTGGTCAAATGCATCGGCGAGCCAACATTTGGAGCACCTCAAATCTATTCAAACAAAAAAACGTTCTGTAATATATATATATATAACCCAGTACGCGCCCGCGCGCCGGCTCATCAGTATATATATATCTACTATATATGTCTTTAGCATACAATATTAATACAAAGTGAAGTTCAGTGCATATAATCCTTATACTCCTTTCACCCGCCAGCCGGAGGCCCCGCGCCGGCCGAGACGTTCGCACACGTATCGCCGCGTTTAAAAAAGTTTAATGAGATGATGGAATCAAAGCTGAACTATATAAATAAGGCACACATGCTGAAAACCAAAGCGCAGCAGAGGGGTCTGGGGGGATTTCCATCAGCGGGGCCCGCAACGCGCGGGCAAATCTCGGAAAGCGACGCGGCGACCTAGCATACGCGCCAGGTGCCCGCTGCAAGACCTCGGCAGTCTCTCGCATCTAGTGGGACAGTGGAGCAGTCTGCAGAAGGGAGCAATTTCCATCAAAGACCCCCATGTTAAAATGCCAAGCAGAAATAAATATGTTTACACCGGTGGTTCAAAAAACCATATCGTCCGTATAGTTAGATCCCCCCTTCAATGAATATGGATTGGGGGGGTTGAATTTTTCTCACGCTCATCTGTTTAATTAATATTAAGCTTAAAGCTTTTGGCATACAAGTCGAGGCGCGGGTCACTTTGATGGGAATGTACGATGCCTCACCTGTCAACATAACAGCAATTGTCCCACTCTGCTTAGGCTACCAACCATAGAGGCTAACGGTTAGTTAGTTGTATTACTGTCACTGACCTTTAGCTTTAGAG